AAGTATTACGGCTTGGTGGCGCTAGCCACCGCCCGATCTAAAGCGTACAGCCATATCCATCCATCCATCCATCCATACGCGTGGCTTCTACGGCTATGTTCCAATACTAACCGTAGACGGCTAAATAGACAGCTAAATGGACAGCGGCCATCTTAAGTCCCATTCGAATTCTCACGTAGCTGGCAAAGTAGACAGCTCCGAGAAGACCGCATTGTAGACAAATACGATGCAGGCCACTTTGCTGTCTAAACAAGATGGTGCCTCAGCGAATCATTCAGATGGAACCACAGATGAACCTTTCCTTCCTCCGTGGATAGATCAAATCTCGCCAGAATGGCCGTTTGCACACAAGCAGACGCTTTCCAAGACGCTCAATGTGAGTAACGTTTATTTGTTTTTGATTTCAACACAAATAAGGCAGAAATCAGAACTGTTATGTTTGTTTCTTTTAGCTTTTTATTCTCGACGTGAGGTGGCGCATCGTCGCGTAAAAGCTTTCTAAACGTGTTCCATTTTTCGGACAGCATGATCTCGGTGCGGTCTTCTAAGCAGTCTGCGTAGACTGTCTACGTTCTGTCTAAGAATTGGAACACAGCCTACATAATAAACAAGTTGCTGCTTGGCTACCGGCTGCTGCGTTGCCTTTTGTGTTGGCTTTTGTGTTGTCTTTTCGACTTCTCTTTTTAATTGAGTAGATGCCTAACTCTTATGAAGAACCCATACAAACCAGCTCAACTTGCAGCTATTCTAACAATATGTCCTTGCTGTTTAAATTCAACATATTACATCTCACTCATTCGTTTATATCAACTTTTACTTGCCATTTCCACATTGATGGCACTGAGAAGCTCCTGTATTTCCTTTTTTTTGCAAATTCTTCAATGATGGGAGGTCGCGACCTGTAAAATAGAATTTAAAAAATCCATAGGTTTGGTTTGAAAACTTTAAATCGGTTGAGCTTATCAAAAATAAATTTCAGAAACAGCCCGCACAAGAAGCCATAGCCATTCCAGAGTATTTGTCTTAGACTTACCTCCAGCCTGAGAGCAGGGTGCCGGAGCTGGGTCTTCGTAACTTGGAGCTGATGACACTTCGACTTCACAACTCTGTTGCGTTAATATGAAAGTGTCCTCTCTTCGTCCTGAAGTTGTAGATCTTGGTGTGCCACTCATGAAATCAATTATGGCACTGTCTTGCAAAGCCTCCGGCTCTCTTTCTTCGGAACTAACACTTGACGAAGAGTATTCATCCATGGGCCTTGGAGAATGTTAAATTCCCTTCTTAGGCCGCCCCTCATCTTCCGTTGTCAGTCCGTATAGCTGGTTCTCAGCCTTGGCTTCCTGCCTCCTCGTAGTCTCTTGACTGTCTGAGGAAGAATATGAATTATGTGTAGCTGCTCTACATCCCATATTTCCTTCATAACTCATGCACAAAACACAGAAAAAGCAAGAGATCAAGAATGCAGCGAAGTATGTATTCACATTATGTTGGCACACAGCAGAAGTGAGCAGCTTATGTTAAATGAAGAGGAACTTTAACTTGCAAGATAATGACAAAAACATTAACGGCAATAATGGATGGTTGTGCAGGCTAAATACATGGACAAAATAAGGCGCATTCAGGACATAACAGTGCGTATAGAGACATTCAAGACACCACAGTGCTTATAGCGCTGTGGTGTCTTGAATGTACCTTCTTTTGTCCATGTCTTTAGCCTGCACTCAATCATCATGCTACAATACCAACAAGCCCAAATCACCACTCCCGTGAAGGGTGATGATCAAAGCAATAAATTTGTGACACTGGTAACCTAATAGCAGCTATTTACAACAATGTGTTAAGGAGGCAACCTTTTATATGGTCAATGAAAAATTTCAACTGGAATCGCTATCTAAGTTTATTGCGCAAAACTCGTGCTTTCTCAGCTATAGCACTGCCAACCTCCGGACAGTGCCAATATATTAGTCAGTATAGCTGAACAAAATTTACCTGTTGACAAAAGAGCTCCGGAATACTGAGTCCAGTAGGCTTCCGGTCCAACCTTGTTTTTTATAGCTAATGTCACTTTTGTTGCATTTTTGTACGTAGGACAAAATACCTTGTTGCCTTGAACCCAACATGATGGCACTGCAGCAACGTCTCCACTTTCTTTGAAGTGAATGACTGAATACATCTGAAAACATTAAGTAACATTATAAGGTCAGTAAACCGACATGAACTTGCCCTAAAATAACAATCACTCCAGAAGCATAATGAGATTAGGTTGCAGTCTTATAAGTAGCACCAAACCCCGTGTAAACACTGCAAAAAAATATTGGCCCCGTATCTGCATGTTACACTGCAAATGTCGCCGAAAGACTTGCATCTGAAGAGAGTGAACATAATGTTTATTTGATGTTCTGCGCAAGAAAATAGGTGAATGGTATTCTGGAGGCGCTGCGTTAGAGTGCCTCGAGAGTGCAGCGGAGGTGAATTAGTGCATCAAGTCACGTCACACGTGAGACATGAGCGCTATCTGGAAGTTATTTGGAAAACGAAGTGCACGGTGTAGAACGCAAGGCGACGGGTAGGTGCCACCACCAAGTCGTCTTATCAAAACGTTGGAAACGCCTTTTCGTGCAAGCGTTGCATGGTCAGTGCAGTGTGATAAATGCTACGGTCCTTAGAATTCCTTATGTATGCCTTTTCTAGTAAAATACACACATAGAGAACATTGACGTGTTGTTATAGTGCTTCAGATATGCGCAATAAATGCCTTTTATATTGACAATTGAACAAACGGGGGTTAAGGATATCATAGCTGAAACCAAGAAGAAGAAATGAACATGGGCCGGGCATGTAGCGCGCAGACAGGATAACCACTGGTCGTTAAGGGTAACTAACTGGATTCCAAGAGAAGGCAAGCGGGTTAGGGGGAGACAGAAGGTTAGGTGGGCAGATGAGATTAAGAAGTTTGCGGGTATAAATTGGCAGCAGCAAGCACAGAACCGGGTTAACTGGCGGAACATGGGAGAGGCCTTTGTCCCGCAGTGGACGTAGTCAGGCTGATGTTGATGATGATGATATTGACAATTGCACGTGTATGAACGCTGAATCTTGAGCAGTATTGGTGGGCGCTGCGGATGGGGTCGGCTGTTTGGAATATCGTCTAGTGCCTTTTAGGGCACTGTTAAGAGTGGACAAACAGACAATTGTAGAGACTGACAGACATATATGTGACTAGTAGACTGGTTGACCATGCACTTTTGTTTTTCTTTTTTCCTTCTTCTGAGAGTAGGGTATACCACTCGCATTGGATTTCATATGTGGCGTTTAACGTCCCAAAACCACCATATGACTATGAGAGACGCCGTAGTCGAGGGCGCCGGAAATTTCGACCACCTGGGGTTCTTTAACGTGCACCCAAATCTGAGCACACAGGCCTACAACATTTCCGCTTCCATCAGAAATGCAGCCGCCGCAGCCGGGATTCGAACCCGCTACCTGCGGGTCAGCAGCCGAGTACTTTAGCCACTAGACCACCGCGGCGGAGCACTACTCGCATTGGAGGCAGGCCGTCTGCATCATTTTAGGAATAATTGCGTGTTAAGCCGGAGTAACCCGCTCACAATCAGTTCCTCATTGCTATTACCAGAGTCCTTCAATTTAAGGGACTGTGCTATTACTTGTAAGACTGAGTGCTAGTATAGTTGAGAAAGGTCTTCAAAACAAAACTTTTTGCAAGAATATTGGCTAAACTCGGGGGATACACGTATGACTCTATATACTTCGTGCCAAATTGGATTTTTTTAAGGCAAGTGTCTGCTCAACAAAAAAAAAAAAAAAACGTCCTGAATATTTGGATACAATCTGACTACTTTCTCGTTGCTTCTATATTAACCAAATTACGATTTTCCGTTGACGTCACGGCGGCTAAATTCAGAGTATTCGGCGCAAAAAAAAAAAGCAATGAAGGCCGAGGATTTTTTCAGCTCGAACAATTTTATCCACTTTGGTAAAACAGTGGTTAATCTTTTCGGCTTGATTAATAAGTGGGGTTTAACGTCCCAAAACCACCATACGATTATGAGAGACGCCGTAGTGGAGGGCTCCAGAGATTTCGAACACCTGGGGTTCTTTAACGTGCACCCAAATCTGAGCACATGGCCCTACAACATTTCCGCCTCCATCGGAAATGCAGCCGCCGCACCCGGGATTTGAACCCGCGACCTGCGGGTCAGCAGCCGAGTACCTTAGCCACTAGACCACCGCGGCGGGGCAATCTTTTCAGCTGAGCGGAAGGTCACGGGTTCTATCCCGGCCATGGCGGTCGCATTTCGCTGCAGTCGATATAGTAGAGGTCAGCGGACTGAGCGATGTCGGCTGATGCTAACGAACACCTGATTGTCGACATTTCCGGGGCCCAACACTGCGGCGTCCTTCACAATCGTATCGTGATTTTGGGACGCGAAACCCTAGATATTATTTATCAGATTGAACAACTGATCTGGCGATTTATGGACATGGCTATGCTCTAGACACAGCAGACGGGCCTTCTTCGAATTTGCAAGGACGGACACTTCACAACGTGCTCGCCTGGTCCGTGTTATTTTGCGACTGACTGTACATTTGCTTAGCGAGTCGAGCGATTGATGATTGATTGAAATGTGGGGTTTAACGTCCCAAAACCATCGTATGATTATCAGAGACGCCGTAGTGGAGGGCTCCGGAAATTTCGACCACCTGAGCTTGTCGAAAGGACCCATCCACAAAAGAAACGGAAATTGCATTTACGCATTTAACGCTTTTCTTTTATTTATTGCTGTTGCCAAGCGCGCTGCGGCAGCCGGTAGGACACAGAAAAGCACTACCGTACCAGATAACGGATGCGTGGGTTAGTTTACTCGCCCGTCGCGTTGCCAAGGGCTACGCGCTGCAAGGGAACCTCAAGTTACACGTGATAACGGTGCAAGGAGGTTGTGTTATCGGTCCTCTTTGCTATGACAGCAGGTACGTACGAGACTATGGAGCAGCAGCTGACCATATACAACCAGTCCTGTCCTGTGCGCCACTGAAGAAATCGCGTCTGAATCCCCCCCTCCCTTCCTTTCCACACCATGGCGGAGCTACAACGAGTACATCGTTTTTGCGACCATGCCGTCGAAGGCGTCAACTGGCGACCGACCCGCTTTGCCGACGAAGTGCCCAGTTCGCGTGTGTGCGCCCTCTGTCGCACGATTCCGAGAAGCACGGTGCAGCTGCCGTGCTCGCACGTTATGTGCCGATCGTGTTACGCAGCCATCTCCCAGGGATGCGGTGGGCGGTGTCCCTTGGATCAAGAGCAGTTCAGAGAAGCTCAGTGTGTCAACTACGATTTTCTTACCGAAAACGGGAACGCCTTGAAGGTGAGAGCTTGTTCCTGTTATTCTTCGAGACTAACAGTTTAAGTTTCATTATTTGCCTAGTAAATCTTACGGGCCTAGCACGGTAAGCATGCCAATTCGTTATCACCGTACTAGTCAAAAGACACAAACGTTTTACTGGTTAGCCAAAGAAACAAGAACAAAGAAATAAATAATCAGTGTGTAATGTGCACACTAAGAAGAAAAAAGGTTATATTACCACCTAGTCCTGACTAGCTGTGTTTATGATTATCTTTAAATAGACTCACTGACTCCCTGTTGAGTATGATTCTACTATGACAGTAAAATGACCTTGGAATGTTCCCGCGCCAATTTAAAGACAGTGATGTTGTACGTAACAAGTGAAGGCTCACAAGAAAAAAAAAGAGTCAGATGACTTTTTTTCTTTCTGTCGTTTCGCGCAACATGAAGGCTGTGGGATGTTTTCTTTTCATAAGTTCTCCGTCTTTTTGATGACAAAATCTGAGCAAATAATTTTTCAGGTCACTTGCTCATAATTATAGCAATAAAATTATTAACGAAATTCATCCTGTTTTCTTTGTTTATCGATGAAGGTTTACTGCTGGAACGAAACTCGCGGATGCGAGTACGAGGGTGCCGTGGAAGATATGCTGAGACACTTCGAGAACAAATGCATCTTCCACGCGGTGGAATGTTCGCGATGCGGGGAAGCCGTCTGTCACAAGGAATTGGCGACGCACTACATGGCTGGATGCCGTTCTCTCGCGTTTCTTCAGCGCGAATAGAAAACTCGTCTTCGAAATCAAGAGCACTGACACTTCAAGACGTCAAGGATGCCCCGGAAGAAGTGAAGACGCTCTCGAGGAAACCGAACCAGGACCAGGCGATGCCTGTTATTCAAAGCCAGACGAACGAGCTCACGGAACTACTCAGCAGTCAGGAGTCCAGGTTGTCCGACATCACGAGCGAAGCTGGCGCAACTGAAAATGCGGAGACAGTTCAACGCACTGCCGCGTCTTCATCGACTGTGTCGCAGGAACCAACGACTCGGCGCAATCCAGAAGTTGAAGCAAGCCTGTTGTTGGCTTCCTTCACGACGGAAATGACGAGCCAAAAGTGTGAAGTCTTCTCCAGCATTCCACCCGGTGTTCTGAAACGGATGCGGAGAACTTCGACGCAGGATTATCCCCAACACGCCATCGAATATTTTCGGCCTTCCAAGAGTACGTGCGACTTGAAGCTGACCAATCAGCTGTCGACGACAAGTACGTGGAGGGAAGTGCTCGGGAGTGTCAAGTATGTCGTAACTATCGACAGTTCAAAATCTACAGCATTGAATTGGGGCACGAGCTCTTGTACTATTACGGTGTTGCACACCATGGACTCCTACTTAACTATTAAAGTAAAAGACATTTCTCTTTCAGGCGATCGTACGCTCGTTGGTGTATATTGACTTTTTCGGAATGCAGGTGGGCTCTCGGAGTAAAACGCCTTGCTTCAGCGTTTTTGCGTTCGACAGGACACGGAGGTTTCTGTGTGCGTTGGATCCCGTGACTGGCCTTGCCGCTGCGAGGGCGCTCGGCACGAGAGGGTACATTATCACGGCCTTTTCCAAATTGAGCTCGACGACTTGAGGCATACTGGATGCCTGCATCAGGGACAGCTGGAGCTCGAAATTGACCTCACAAACGAGAAAAGACGATGGTGAAACTACACCGAGCTCTTGAAACTGGCTCTCACAGTCTATTATTATTATTTTTTTTTTCCTTTTCTAGAACCTTAGCTCTATCACCTACCATAAAGTCAATATAAATGAATCACATATCGGCTGAGCAGTGACTGTATGATGCGGGTGATGTTCTCATCACTTCGCGAGCGCATGGAACATGAACTGCGGAAAGTTTGAAGTGTCCTAACTTTAATAAAGTAATTACTGGGAAATGTGTTGCTTCACGTTTATTTTTGCTATATATAGGCAATAGTTTTCGTCATCGGTGCGTCAGTTCAAATAGTCAATGGAATGTATTGCAATATATATATATATATATATATATATATATATATATATATATATATATATATATATATATATATATATATATATATGAGTGTTTGTGTGTGTGCTTAACACAATAATAATGAGATATAACAGACAACAGTGCCAAGGAAAGTATAATGATTGATTTGTGGGGTTTAACGTCCCAAAACCACGATATGATTATGAGAGACGCCGTAGTGGAGGGCTCCAGAAATTTCGACCACCTGGGGTTCTTTAACGTGCACCCAAATCTGAGCACACGGACCTACAACACTTTCGCTTCCATCGGAAATGCAGCCGCCGCAGCCGGGATTCGATCCCGCGACCTGCGGGTCAGCAGCCGAGTGCCTTAGCCACTAGACCACCGCGGCGGGTACAAGGAAAGTATAGGGGAAGTTATTACACCGAATTGTAATGTAAATGTGAAACAAAGAAAAGTGGGTGAAAAGGTAACTTGCCGTGGGCAGGAACCGAACCTGCGACCTTAGAATAACGCGTTCGATGCTCTACCACTGAGCGGCTATCCCCTCACCCACTTTATTGGGTATATATGTGAATTTAAACGTGCGAGTTTCAGTCAGCGCCACCAGTAGCCATGACGGCGAGTGTGGCACATTCTTTATGATCCCGTTTGGCGTCACGTAGCACGTGAGCTTATTGCTAGCTGGCAGCTGACCAATAGTCCCTCGTTTACAACCTAAAGACACCAAGTCTGCCAGTACGAGACCCTCTTGAATGAATATACACTCTTTCCTTATATATATATATATATATATATATATATAGACGTTGCGCTTCGTGATAAATCCATTGCAACGTGGAAACGCTCCCACTTGCAGGGCGCAGAAGTTCACTTAGGCATTAACTCATACTGCAAGCACAGATCCCGCGCCCGAATGCGATTACCGGCGTATTGAATAGCCCATAGAGCACTACAAGTGTAAAGACGAGAGAGTCGTATCTCTCTCACCTTCACTACTATTCCTGAAGCCGCAACGCCCTCCTCGCCACATATTCCTTCATAACGCCCGTGGAAAACGCCAGAACAAAGCGTTCAATATTTCGCACTTTTCGGCTGCACGCGGCTTTATCCGATTGCGCAGTTGAAAACGCACGCAACGAAACGAAATCAGTTTATCGCCAAATGGTCACGTGAGTGAGAACAACTTTATTATGGTCCAGTGCGCTGAGGTTTCTACGCGTCACCCGGCTACTCCCACGTGGGGACCGGCAGGTCTAGCCTGACGGCCCTGTCGCGGGCACACTGGACGGCCAGGATTTGGTCCTGAAGTTCTGGGCTGCGCAGAAGCGCATCCCACTCGGGTTTGCTAAAAGTCGGTCCAAGCGACCCGCACTCCCAGAGCACGTGTGCTAATGTAGCGGTCTGCCCGCAAGCGGCGCAGGCGGCATCGGGGAATTTGTGAGGATAAACTGCCGGTCACGTGAGAAGTCTGGACGGGAATGCGACTGCGGGGCAAAGCAGGGTAGAAAACAATTCACAACCGGTGTCCCTAGATATGAGCCAGTCGAGAAAATTTTTTTCCCTTCTCCTCTCGCACCTGAAAGGGGAGGAGGATCTTTCTGCTGATTAAATAAAGTATGTTCATCATCATTCTCATCACCCAACGTGACTGCGGGTGTCACGGGTTTTACCGAAGAAACGGGAAACGCCAGGCGAAACAACGCGCTTTTTTTTTCTGCATTTTAAGAGGCGGCTGGAGGGCCATCAAGCATTGTGGATTAGCAAGTATAATAAATGAGGACTTGGGACAGTGGGTCCTATGGGGGATCGTGGGTCCCCAAGGGGAATTGTGGGTCCCCAAGGGGGATTGTGGGTCCCCAGGGAGGATTGTGGGTCCCCAAACTGCGTCGTGCACGCTGCTGCCATGTTCAGAGGAGCAGCAGAGTTTAAGAAAATGGGTCAACGCTGACCGCGTTGGGATCAGACCCTTGAATTTGACTAGACGGCTGCCAATTAAAAATTGACAGCCGATCCACGAAGTCAATGCTGATGATGGATCGAAATTCTTCAGACGATTGTGACCCCCCCCCCAACCCCCCCCCCCCTTCTCGCCTCCCAAAGTCGATGCAGGCAGCGTCCGCTAATGAGGTTCTTGAATGAAAAAAAAAAAAAAAACTCGACTGTTCGCGCTGCAACAACCATTCACTGGTTATGGGCCAAGCACGCTTCCACTGCGCCCCTCTGCTGCAAACCATTCACTGGTCGTATAATATATATATATATATATATATATATATATATATATATATATATATATAGGCACTTAATCTTGACCACTAAGGTGGTGGCGGTTACAAATTTCTCATGTGCGTTGTCGAACAATAAAAATTGGCACCGTGCGCATTAAATATGGCCGCCCACATTTTCTACGGGAGCAAATCGAGGAAATTCGTCACTGAGTGGGAGCGGGGGAGGCGTATCGCGTGAATGTTGCGTGATTGAGTATGATTTCGGAAGGCTGAAATGTTATTTCGTCTTTATCGTTATTTATCGAATGAAGGAGAAGCATTGCCTCTAACGTCAAGGGGAAGCCATGTAAACATGCCCTTGACTGAATTCTGAACGCGCGATTCATATACGGGGTGGCCAATGAACGGTTGTGCAGCGCGAGCACTCGGTGTATTTTTTTTTTAGCACTCAGTGTTTTTTCTTAGCGAACTTTGGAGACTTTGGAGCGTGTCAATCTATCTATATATCTAGCCGTTTACGTTTGTCTGCTCTCGTTTGATTGATTGATATGTGGTGTTTTAACGTCCCAAAACCACCATATAATTATGAGAGACGCCGTAGGGGAGGACTCCGGAAATTTCGGCCACCTGGGGTTCTTTAACGTGCACCCAAATCTGAACACACGGGCCAACAACATTTCCGCCTCCATCGGAAATGCAGCCGCCGCCGCCGGAATTTGATCCCGCTACCTGCGCGTCAGCAGCCGAGTGTGTGCTCTCGTTCAAAACACGCGCTCCGCTGTTCGGGTTCCATTTGACGCCGATAGTGCCTACGGTATAAGCAACACCTGTGTTTCGGTTCGACGGGAAGCTACTAAAACGACGGTGTCAGCGGACATCGTGCAACCCTGAATATGGGAGACGCTAGCCATACCGTGCCGAGGCCCGCTCTGCGTCTGCGCCGTCTCGCGGGTGACCAAAAGCACCTGGAGGACTAGTAATGTAGTTTTTTTTTTTAAATGCGAAGCATTTTTAAGCGAACTTCGGTGACCTTGAGCATATCTATTACTCTATCTATCTATCTATCTATCTATCTATCTATCTATCTATCTATCTATCTATCTATCTATCTATCTATCTATCTATCTATCTATCTATCTATCTATCTATCTATATCTACGACCTTTTAGCTCTCCTGACCGTTTCGATAATGGTAGCAATGCCAAACTTAGTATGGCATAACATCGCTCCATGAAGAACATATTGGCTAGTCACAACATGAAAATCATGGCATGTATGTCATGAATGTCATGACTTACTGTCATGGTCCTGCTGCTCTGCGGTGGTTTCGTTCACATGGCATGTTGCAATGATATGGTATGACATGATTGCATGGCGAACCAAGCGGCAGACCCTAACATGAAATTATGACATGCGTGTCATGTAACAACATGACTACATGCCACGCTCATGATGCGCTCCTAGCCGTTTCGCTAGCATCACATATACTAAATTTGGTATTACGGTACGTGAATAGATAACGAAGGTATGTGACTGGTGCAAACATGATAAACATGAGATGCGTGTCATGTAACAACATGACTACATGCCACGCTCATGATGCCCTGGTGGTCGTTTTGCTAGCTTCACTTATACCAAATTCGGTATTACGGGACGTGAATGGATGACGAAGGTATGATACTGGTGCAAACATCATAAACATGAGATGCGTGTCATGTAAAAAGATGACTACGTGCTACGCTCATGATGCGCTCGCGGCCGTTTCGCTAGCTTCACATGCATCAAACTCAGTACTACGTGACGCGAACGGACGACATAGGTAAATTACACATACTAACGTGATAATCATGACATGCTTGTCATGTAACAACATGACTACATGCCACACTCTTGATGCGCTCGTGGCCGTTTCGATAGCTTCACATGCCAAATTCGGTTTACGTGACGTCAATGGATGACGAAGGTATGTGACTGGTGCAAACATGATAATCATGAGATGCGCGTCATGTGAGAACATGACTACATGCCACAGTCAAGGCACCAATACGTTTCGACGTGACGCGGTACACGTGCTCGCCGGCGTTCATTTAGTCGAGTCACGCCGGCGTTGCCACGCTGCAGGCGTCGGTCCTGCCATACACTCGCAGGCGCGCGCCGCGCTTCGTTGCTTTTACGCATGCGCGT